TGGTCATCATAACTTCCTGTGTGCTCTCCCCAAAGCAGATCCAACCAAGAGTTCTGCCAAGTGGGTCTAATTTCTCATGGCCAGAGTTGCCAGGAACTTTTTGGTCCTACATCCTGTCACGCTGAGCAAGTTTAGCTGAGGTTTATTTCATGATGCACTGCATATAAGAGTAATCACAGCATCATTTACTCATCCTTGCATTTACTCCTCAAATGTGCTTACTACATACCAAGTTCTGGGATTGGTGCTAGGAATGGAACCCTTTCCCTGTGGTTAAAACCAAGAAATTTGAGTATGATCCTAAATTCTTCCCCATTTTCTACAAAAACTTTGAATCTGCTACCAAGTAAAAGCAATTTTACTTCCTAAATGCTCCCCACATCTGCCCACTTCTCTCCACTCTTTTGGTCAGTCCTCATCTGCCCTTGATTGATGCTATCTCCTAACCTGACCACCTTTGTTTTCACATCTGTGTAGGGTTTCACCCTGCAGTAACTTTCCAAAATGCACATCTGGTCATGGAGGTTGAAGCCCAGAGTTTTGCTGCAACAACCAATTTCCCCAAATCCTCAACTCCACCAGTAAATGTCAAGTGTCAACACATGTACACAAGAAAGAGAGGCCCTCCCCCAAAACTGTCAGACTGAACTAGCTACTGGGACCATCCCCTCTCCTTAGACCTTCTATCCCATCATCAGGGTGGACAGCCAGAAAATCTCTGCCAACAGTCACAGCCCCTGAACCCACTAGACCAATGCTCCTCATGCTTCTTACCACTGTTGGTATCAGTTATCTCCAAATAAAATGCTCAGCACATTATCTGGACTCATTCTCCTAATCTGTCCCCATCTCCACCATACCCAACTCCTGAATCCCTCCCTTTTATGCCCTCTGGAATTCATGGGTTCTCATCAGCAAAATCCCAAACACCTCTTAGTCTGTTCTCTCACATTTCCTTCACCCTCCTGCACTACTAGAAAGCTGGTGCTCCCCTGAGGACATAGCTGCCACTGCTGCCTTCCCAATTGGTGTGCTTTTTGTCCCCTACTGTTCTTGCATCACAGGGCCTAAAAGAGGGGAAGGGTCCTACTGCTGCCAGTACTGCTTCAGAGCATGCTCTCTCCTTCCCCTAAATCTCCTATCTTATACCACCTGCAGTCCCTCATGGTGGCTGTGATCCCCTCACATCCTGATGCTCCTGCATCCCTATTTAATCCCTTTGTGCCAAAACTCCCCAGGAGAGTTTTCTATCTCACCATCTCCAAGTCCTCTTCTATTCTTCCCCTTCTTTTTCCTCAGTGGATGTGTGTCAATTTATTCGTTCATTCTCCTATTTATGGACTTATGGCTCTTTTCATTGTTTTAACTTTTACTTAAGAACTGCACAGAGCACAACTGTGTTGTGTTTCTCTCCAGCGTTTATTTCTAAGAGGGGAATGGCTGCGTTGAAGCTCATTCTTCCAATCCACTGAGACAAGTTTTGTCAATGGTCTCCTACATTTCTAAATCTAGTAGTCAATTCTCAGTCCTGCTCATCCTTCCTCTGAAACCAAACACCTTTAAATCACCAGGAATCCTCTCTCATATCTCCCCATATCAGGAAGCCCTGGAGGTTAAGTCTAGAATCCAACAGTTTCTCAGTTCTTCAGCTGCTGCCATGCTGTTCTGCTGAGATAGAACTACTGTCATCTCTGGACTTCATTAAAGACACCTTAGAGGTAGAATCACCAAGGCCAGCAAGGAGGCCTCAGTGGTGATAGCTTTTAAAACTTTCAGAAGTTCCAACAACACTTTAAATATGAAAAACAGCAGAAATGGAGTAATAAATAATTTTCACTTGAAAAATGACATATAGCTATAAAATTTTATGAGAATCAAATGAAGAACTCTTGGCTAAAACACAAGAATTGGGTAAACATATAAACATATAAAATCCCATAGCTTTCACATCTAGCAAAAATCAGTTAAGAAAATAGGAGAAAAATATTACATCTGCAATAGCAAGAAAAGGAGTAAAACACATAAAAATGAAACTTATCTAACACCTAGCAGTACATATGAATAAATATAATAAAAGAAGGGAAAGTCTTATTATACAGTATTAAGTAAAAAGCATGTATGAAATCATATAGGGAATGACATGCATACATGTATATTTATATACACACATTCACACTAGTAAGGCAAATTCACACTAGTAAGGCAAAATCTAGAAACAATTATATCAAAATATTAATAATTATTACCTCTGGATTTTAGGATAATAAGAAACAGTAATTTTCTTCTTTGTGTCTTTCTCAGATTTTATACCATCATCATATGAAAAATCTTCATACCAAAAGTTTTATTTTCTGTGAGATGTTATTTAAACCACAAAGCCTATTTTGAAATATAAATAATGCATAAAAGTGTCTCTGAATTTAGCCTAAAAGCACTGGACATACTGAGTTAAGTCTCTCTGACCATACCAGCAGACCAGAAAACCAGCAGAATAAGCATTTCAACCATTTTTCAAGCTGAATGTGATTACTGTTCCAGGTGATAGGTTTTAGGGGCTTTTTAATTCAATCTGTGATTACAGTTAGGCCTCCATAATAATCAACTTAATTCTACCATTATGTAAATCACTGCCTCCCAGAAAGGTACCCTGGTGGAGAAAGAAAAAAAACCCTGCAAGCGAGAATGCTCAGGAAATAGAATGGTTAGGTTAATTAATGTGTTATTTAATAACAATTTTAAAAATTCCTTTGATGCAAGCCCCTGCATTAAATGACCTGTTTTGTTACCCTAATAAAGATCACTAACAGTAGGCTTGACCAACCAGGAGTACATCATGCCTCAGGCTTCTCAAACATCCATTCTACCTCAAAGCTGAGCCAGGCATGGTGGTGCATGCTTGTAATCCCAGAAGCTCAGAAGGTTGAGGCAGGAGCATCACAAGTTCAAAGGCAGCCTTAGCAATTTAGCAAGGCCCTAAGCAACTTAGTGAGACCCTGTCTCAAAATAAAATATATAAATCGCCACCTCACTGCCCTGCACTGGGGATGTAGTTCAGTGGTTAAGCACCACTGTGCTCAATCCCTGGTGCCAGAAAAAAAAAAAAAAAAGGCCTCAAACCATCTTAAAAGCTGGAAGGTACAAGGACTGAACAAAGTATCTAGAAAACCAGGTCATATCATGGAGATTGACATTGAAATATAATCAGTGAGCCATGTGTGTTGGTGCATGCCTGTAATCTCCAAGACTCAGGAAGCCAAGGCAGGAAAAATGCAAGTTCAAGGCCACCCTCAACATAATAAGACCCTGTTTCAAAAATAAAAAGGGGTAGGGAGGTAGCTCAGTGATAAAGGGCCCCTGGCCTCAAAAGAGAGGGAGAAAGACAGAAGGAAAAATTCACAATGATGTTCATTGTATTGCTGCTGTTAGTTTTGCATTATGTTGAAGAAATCTAAACAGCTGAAAATTCAGGTTAGCTTTATTGTTGTTATTATTTTTTAGTTCTTTTGCAGTACTGGGGGTTGAACCCCAGGGTACTCTACTACTGAACTATATCTCTAGATCTTTTTATTTTTTGAGACAGGGTCTTGCTTAGTTACCCAGACTGGCCTTGAACTTGTTCTCCTGCCTCAGTCTTCCAAGTCCCTGAGATTACAGGCATATGCCACCAGATCTGGCAAGGTTATCTCTGACTTTACCAAATATTTGTTGTGAGATTGTAGAAGATATTTTAAAGCACTGTAATAACAACATAAAAGGAGTTCACCAATATTTCACAAAAATACTTAGGTATAAGGGAAAAGAATACTTTGAGTAACAGTAAGGCTTTCTTGAGAGATCTTATCACTTTATTAATCTTCTGCTATAAAAAAAAATCACCTTGAAACATTTCTTTCAATATAATTTTATCAATAAATGCCAACTTGCCATATAGTTCAGTGTGAGATAATTATTTTGTTTTGTTTTGTTTTATAAAAGATAATAAATTTTAGTACTAGGTTTTCTGAACTGACAGTACATATTCTTGTATTCACAGTAATCAGTTCATTGATCATCTGACAGGTACTTACTGAGTACCAACTACAGGTGAGATGATGTGCCAAATACCAAGTCCCAACTATTGGGGCAGCCGAACTGTTGCTATACTTTCACATGTGGACATGTGATCACTGATTTATATTTAAGATCTTTTTAACATCAAAAAAGTCAATTCAATTCCATTTACACTTAGCTTTTTTCCCACATAAGGTTAGAACCAAAAAAGAAATAAGGATGAATTTTCCTACACTATATTTCCATTCATTTATCCTATAAGGATTCTACTAATAGCACTTCAAGAGTGCTTTATTTTCACAGGTAGATCAAAAGGAAGCTTTCACACCATGCTTTCTTTTGACCAGTTTCCTAAAAGTACCTGCCAAGGCATGCTAAAGCACAGCCAGGTGCTGACCCATGTCCATTACCAAACACATCCAACGGGCAGTGAAGGTCGGCATTTCTGGGCTTTCACCTTACATTCTCCCTTGAAAGTGCCCACAATTTTCATCTGGGTTGTCTATCACACTCAGTGAAGAAAGAGCAGAAGTGTAACTCTCAACAGGTTGTTTAATTGATTTTAGACCAAAATTAGGACACATTTTGCAGTCCTATATGCAGGCTACACCTTTTAGATTACATGAATCCTACCTTCACGGGCAGTTCAGAAAAGCAAATTACAGTAATAACGATAATCACCTCTTTTTCTCTCTTCAGTCCTGGAAATGTTTTGCTTTCCCTTGCTAAAACCAAAATGACATTTTTCCATTACCCTCTCATTCATTTCTACTCATTTCCTTTTCCCTTCCTTGAGAAGTTGTGCATGTCAGTTAATTAACCTGGTTCCACGTGGCTGCAGCCGAAGAAAACATGTCTTTTTATTTCACAATGTATTCTAAGTTATAAAAATGAGCAGATAAGACCCTCCTCCCCCTTCTCATTTATGCTAAGTGCTCACAAAAACTTACATCTTTTCCCAACACTCTGAGTTCAAACTGAGTCTCCTTGAAGTGAACTTTTGTAATCCGAGGCCTGAAAAACAAAGCAGATGGTGGTGTGGTCACTGCTTTTTGAAGAATTAGTCATTTAGAAATTCAGAGACACATACAGTGGGAAAAGACTAGTGAATATTGGCTCTTTTATATACTGCTGAAGTGACTGCAGAATCTCCTCTGGGTCGTTGCTCTGGACATCTTCCATTCTCATTATCCTATGCTTTTCCACTAACTACAAAAATAAGCTTGGAATCCACTGGCCCTGACAGTACCACCTCCCCAGACACATGCAGGAGCACAGGCTCCCCAATCCCTCCAACCCTTCCCTAGATAGAGCTAAAACTTAGAGTGATGCTGGACCTCCAGCTCACACCATACATTGGAATGGGTGGGAAGTCCTACTACACACACTCTCCATGGATAAGAGAGTCCAGACCCACAGTGCTTGAAATTTACAGATTAAACATATATATATACTAAGGTACATTGAGAGGAAATTATATCCAATTGCACTCATTTATTTATGAACTATGGAAAACATACTTGTTTCCTTTTCCCCAACACTTTCACTAACACACAAGTCTAGTAAGTCATACAGTGTATAGTTTCGTTTTTTTTTTTTTTTTCTTTTGTACCAGGGATGGAACATAGGGGCACTTAACCACTAAGCCACATCTCCAGCCCTATTTTGCATTTTATTTAGAGACAGGGTCTCATTGAGTTTCTTTGCTTAAGGCCTCGCTAAGTTACTGAGGCTGGCTTTGAACTGTTGATCCTCCTGCTTCAGCCTCCCAAGCTGTGGGATTACAGGCATGCACCATCATGCCCGGCTCTGCAGTGTATAGCTTTTATACCAACTCTGTCCTGGAGTTATACCTACCAGAAGTACTTCCCCACTTGCTTTTTATTCTTGTAGACAACAACACCAACGGGAGTTAATCCTAAGAAATACTCAGACTTGTTTTCTCCCTGCAAAAACAAACACAATCCTAAAACCATGAGTTTATTCACATAAAAGCTCTTGATAAAACTACAATTGGCCATATAAATATAATTTATTGGATTGAAGTTGGATTTAACTTTTTAAAAGACATCTGCCTAAAAATCCAACTAAGTTATGATAGTGATTAACTTGATGCTCTCCCCGCCCCCCCCCCAAAGTTCCCTAAGAGAACTTCTCTACCTCCATGTTAATTCACACTTGCAACTTCAATTTACTAAAAGGAATTTGGACTACCTCTCAGGCCACTGATTGACTTATCCAATGTTGCTTCCACAGTGGTGTTTAACTCAAGCTGCACATTAACTGGAATCCCCCAGGCAGCTTAAAATGCCATTAGCATTCTGAGGGCTACCGAAGCCAGTTAAATCAGAATCTCTAATGAAGGAGCCAGAGTATCAAAACAACATAGGTGTCCCAAGTGATTCTCTGAATAGCCAAGGTTGAGGACCACTAGCTTCTATCAAGGGTGCTTTACAATGCCTTGTCTTAATTTTACCCTGATATGGATAATCATGAGGCCCAGGTCACTACACCACAACCCTCATCAGAAAGTTCCGGTAGCCATCAACAGACATACCCTTGAACTTTCTATTTTATCCTGTTCCCTCCTGCCCTAACTTTAAGACTACTTAAAATTTTAAAAATACGATCTCTTCTTCTCTTGATTATTTTCAATTAAGAGAACAAGATCCTGAAATTAAAAAAGTCAACAGAGTGGATACCAAGAACATGCACAGAACTGTCAAACAGCCTGCAAAGTTATAGTCACAGGAACACAAGGTAACAATATGTTTGGGGATATAATCACCAGCTGTTACCCACTTTCAGCCCTAGAAATTCAATCTTGAATGCATGGAAGATTCTAACATATCAAGTTCATTTCCCATAAATTCCAACTAACAATGAAAAAGTCTGATGGTTAATTAGGATAAAGATGACAGAAACAGAGCATTTTGCAGAAGACTCTCAATAAATTTCTAGTAGATTAAAACAACAACAAAACTAAGCCTAACAAGATTAATATGACTAGATGGGGAAAAATAACCACTCCATGAAATCTTATTCTTTTGGGGGGCAGAGAGGACTGGAGATTTAATCCAGGAGTGCTATACCACTGAGCTATATATCTAGCCCTTTTTATTTTTGTGACAGGGTCTCACTAAGTTTCTTAATGCCTCATCAAATTGCTGAGGCTGGCCTTTGCAATCCTTCTGTCTCAGCCTCCCGGGTCACTGGGATCACAGGCTGTTAAGAGTATTCTTAAAGGAGGGAACTATGAAGCATTTAATGATCTCATGAGATTGGAATCTAATATATCAAAGAATTACTGTTCTTCACAAATCTGTAACTTTTACTGCCACACTGACTGTGTACCCAGGAATGCATTTAATTCTCTAAAAATAATATGAGAGAGTTTTTTTGTTTTCAAAAAATGCTGGTGAGAAAAAGACATATTATATAATGAATGCATGAGTGGGTTATTTGCATGAGAGAAAGACTTATCAGGGTTCCTTAAAAATTGAGTTCCATGATCCAACTGATGAAAAGTAAGCCTAAATATACTCTTCAGCAATTTCCTATAGAGAATTAAGAACTTTGCTCATTTTCTCAGATAATCAAATGTTATTATTGCTAAGTACAGCTAAGTACACTTGTACAAAAATCAAAGGCAATGGCATTTCAATCTCACTGGCATAGAATAATCAATTGGCAGTATAAGAGAAATGTCTCAAAGGTAAGATCTGGATTCAGAACACTCAATACACACCCAGGGTTAATTTCTAACTATATTTAGCAAGTTTTCATCAGGCACTGAAGAAAATAAATATTTTTATGAAGGCAGTGATACCTACAGCGACAGAACCTGCACAGTCAACATAGAACCACCCGTTGGTGCACCCAGACTGCTACCTAACCCTTGCTTTACCTGGTTAGAAACCTGAATTGTGTTTTTCAGCCATCAAATCTATTTTGGGAAAAATCTTCCTGTTTTCTATCTAATACAATCAAGTATAGACCAATTTTAAGTTGTTTTGATGTTTAGCTAAACCCTTTGGAACTGTTATCCAGATTGTGTTTTCAAGTCCAGTTAATTGTTTTCTACACATGGTAATATAATCACAGACTTTTATGCAAAATTCATTAGAGTTTAATCCATGCAAGAGCTGCTTTCTGTTCAAAAAACACAAATGAAAAGGTATCATCTGCTTGCTGAACAACAGGACTACCATTTTCCTTTGAGAGTCTTGGTGACTTTTTAAGAAAAATGTCATCAGCTTAAAATATTTTGTGTTAATTAAATGTTACTCACATAGACAGGATGGAGGTCAACACCATACATCTCCAGGGATTTGGCTGTCCTCAAGTAATTCAGTTCAGCTTCAGAAGGAGCCTGACCCCTGTACCCAGCAAAAAAACAAACAGCCTTACTTTACCCTTAGCTATTGCGCTTACAGGGGTTGCAAACCAGTTTCATTGTATTCACTGAAAAAATATCCCTTTGTATTAATGTGAACATAAGTTTTTGTATTTCAAGAAGGCCTTCACCTTGCTGGTGACAAAATTTTATGTTTCGAGGTGATACATATTAAGTTAATTTCATTTACTAAATAGATCCTTGCTCATTATAGTCTATCCCTAATGTCCCAACATATATTAAAAATTCTCAATTTCAAAAACGCCCAAAGAGGTTTTTGAGGACATAAGCACGCAAATTAAAAAGCCTCCACTTCACAAAGAGCAAAATGTCTCCCTGCACCAGTAGCTCTGCATCAGATGAGAAAGGAGCTAGCACAGGGGTGGAAAGAAGAGGAGAATGGGGTCTCCACCTCTTAGTGGGGTCATAGCAACATCTTCTGAGCACAATGAAGTTTAGAAATACATTAGTTAACATACAGAAATTGTAACAGTACCTATTATTTTCTCAACAGAGAATAGAGAAATGTTCACTGGTGATAAATACAGAAAATAGCACCGATTCCTAATGAGAGCAAGCATCTGCCAGGAATCTCCATGGATAAATTAAGAGTGTGTATGTATATGTGTGTATGAGAGAGAGAGAGAGAGAGAGAGAGAGAGAGAGAGAGACACTGGAATGGTTAACAAAAGGACCTATGAATTTTTAAAAATTTAGAAATTTAATTTGCTTTGATACATTCCCTCATTTCAGCCAGGCATGCTGAAAAACTCACAATGTAGCATACTTGTGAAATCTGTGAAGAATATTCATCACAAGTTAGGCACAAGAAAGCTACCAAGCCTTGATCATGCTTAATTCCCAGTAAAACAGTCACACTATCCACACCATCACATAAAACATGTCTGAGGGCCTTTATTTAAAGCTCCATGATAATGTCTAAACACAATTGTGCTTGGAAACTCCTGGTAGAATTAATATTCTCAAAATGTACCAAACACATTGCCCTTTATGATGTTATAACAAGCACTCTCTTAGCATCCACTTTAGTAAAACCTTAAAATGAAGGACTCTATAACCAGGCTGGAGAGCCTTCTAGCACAGGCTAATACAACATGCAGAGCCAGGTTTCTCTGATTACCATTCAGCAACTGACTTCTGCATCTACTCACTGAAACAGATCCTTTAGGCAAATATTTTTTTGTTGAGCAGATAAATTCTACATTTTTTTTCCTTGACTATAATAGATCTGAAATCAAGTATATTCAAGGGGGAATGTTACATAAGAAGCAAAAAAAGCAAAGTTAATCAGTATAGAAGATTTAACCAAAATAAGTATAATTAAATTATAACTTCAATGCTCCAGGCTATTAATTGAAAATCCTACTAGGGGAGCGCATCTACTGTCAGAAGTGCATGTGGTGTTAACACAACGCCCTCAGAGGCTACACACATGTCATCGTGATTTCCAGATTCACTGTGATAGCCTGAATAGGACTTTGTTTTAATTGCAAAGAATTTACATACTTAACCCAGAGCAAATCTAGAATACATTAAGGCATTTGTGGTTATTTTTTATAGTTAAAAATAATATTTACAGTTAAAAATTTTTCATAAGACACTAGTGACCGAAAAAAAAAAAAGATTGTAAAACACAGTACTTACAGAATGAATTCACTTACATAAGATCATAATACATAAATTTATGCAAAATAAATTTTGTCTGTGGGAAGTTATGCACAGAGACAGGCCTGCAGTATCACTGACCAAATATATGGTGACTTTGGCTTTTAGAATTGACTTTCTACATTGAACTTTTAAAATCTCTTGAGCTTTTGATGAGCATTTTAGTGTTGTAATCAGTAAAAGTTATTACAAGAGAAATCAAGCTAGAATGTTCAAGGCATAGGTGAAAATTTTATTGTTCTAAAAACTTTTCTTATGATTGTCATTAACCTGCAGTGACCACTGATGGCTGATGAAACATATGACATAATTCTTACATTAGAGTTTTATGAATCCTTTCTATGGCTTCTTCAAGTTCTTCCTTCTGATCAGGAACAAACCGGTACTCTGACACATATCCTGCAGTATGCTTGTATGGGTCATAATCTCCAAGTTCAGCTGGGGGGGGAAAAAGAAATTATAATTTTATGCTATTTTAGAAAAACATTTCTAAAAATATTCCTATCATGTGTGAACATTTTTCTTAAACATATAAATACCTGAATAACTATTAAACATTTTACTAAAATATGATGAGCATATAGGGATGACATAAAATCTTGACTTGAAAATATAAATTTTGTATTTCTGCTTTTCCTGAGATTTTCCTTTCAATTATTCTTATCAGCTTATATGAAATAAAATGTTATAAACAGACTTTAGGGTACATATGGTAGAAATGCTGGAGGTGACCTCCCATATATCCTCTCAATGACACAGAGAGAGAGAAAACATGTGATTCAAACATCTATGCCTCAAATAATGGTGATGGAAACATAATACAATGCTGTACATACTCCGTCTGTTTAACAAAGAAACAAAGTGAAACCAGGAAGCTCACTATACTGCTCTTACAAAAATTCTTCTCCCTATGTTAACCTACCTTCCAAGCCCCAACCCAGTTCATCTATTCCACAGCTTTCCTGGGATATTATTTCTACATAATTTCCAGTCTACAAGTTTCATAGGGCCAAGAATCATGCAGTCTTGTTTCCCTAGCTAGATTCTTAAAAGGTGTTCAATAATCATTAGTAGAAATAGTCTCAGCCTTAGTCTCTAAAAAGACAGAAGAACCCAGAGCCATCCCATATGGCTGCCACACTGATGTCAAGAGCCGTGTGCCACACTGAACTTGGTGCTGGCACCTGACCATGTGGAGTCTATACAACAGCTGCCCAGAAGCAACGTTATCTTTGAGACACAACAGTTTGTCAGGGAGGGGGCAGGGTGTAGAGGCACTGAAATCAAGTGGGATGTAGAGTAGAGCAGATTTTTAGGCCCTCCACTAAAACAAGAACGAATGCTATTTCTGCAACTAAAACTCCATGCAACCTACTACAAGGGAAATGTAATTGACTCCAGTTTTACCTCTTCTGAAGGACACTGGTCAAAACCTGAATTCTGACTAAATTTTTTTTTCCAACTGTCATTTGATAAGAAGAGTTTTAGAATATCAACTTGCATACAAAGAAAACTTCAAATATTTCCCCCAGACATTTCTGAAGCAAATACACTGAAGTGGAACATACACTGGATGGCGTAGGCTCCCAGCTGAGCAGCAATGTTGACGGGGCAGGGCAGCCGGCCCTGAAGCACATCTTGTTTCACCTGCAAGAAAAACTGATATCTAAAAGAGAAATGGAAAAAAGAGATTAACAATCTCTTACACGACTTGAATCTGAAGTTTCAGGCCCTGAACATCAAAATCAAAACTAATCATCTTAGTGAAAATTAAGTCACACTCCATTCTTCTGTGAAAGGGCTGTGGAATAATGGGGACCAGACCAGCAGAACACACCTTACAGAAGCAACTTGCTGGTGTTGGGGCTAAGAAGCTCAGGCTCTCAAGGTAACTGCCTGGCTTGCATCCCAGCTCCACTGCTCAGTGCTCTGGGATCTGGGGCTGCTGCTTACCCTAATAGTCTCCTTACCTGCAAGACTGGGGGAGTGACAGTATCCACCCTATAGGTGGATGTGAAGGTTGAATAGAAGGTACTTTGCCTTTGTCATTACTGCCCCTGCCACCACTACCACCACAGAAGGCTCTTACCAGGAGGAATAAGTCACAAGGACCCCACCTCCACTACAGTGTTATCTACAAGGCTCAAAATTATGTGTCCAAGACAAAAAGATCATGAGGTTTAATTCCATCAATTCTCCCACTTTCTAAGACCCTGTCCATCATCTGTGGCTTTACTCATTTCGTGTTGCCAAAAGAAAACCTATTTAAATTACAGTGCTAAGAACTACTCTAAACATTGTAAACACTACATCTCATTCTAAGGATTTTTTAATGTATATATTTTTAGTTGCAGTTGGACACAATACCTTTAATTTTATTTATTTATTTTTATGTGGTGCTGAGGATCAAACCTAGTGCCTCATGCATGCTAGGCAAGCACTCTGCCACTGAGCTACAGCCCCAGCCCTCATTCTAAGGATTTTTACATACAATAACATTAGGTAACACTTTAAAAATGAGGCCAATCCTATTATCTCCATTCTACAATTGAGGAAATTGATAGAGATGAAAATAACTTGTCCAAGATCTCACCAAGAACCTAAGCAGTCTGACCCTAGAACTCTCTCAACCAGATGTCACTCAACTTTAACTAGCTTTTTGTCATTTCTTATTCAGTCTTTCTGCCACTGGGCTGAAAGAGGACAGAGATTTATGAGCCAAATTAACAAACCAATACCAGGCTTGATCACTGTCACTTATACATGTGTGCACACACACTCACACGCCCCAGACTATCCTTTTGTGGCTTTGCTTCACTTGCAAGGTGAATTTTGACATCATTGGGAGAGGCGGAAAAAGTGAGAGAAATGAAGCAGAAAAATCAGCTGAGATTAACAGCATCTTCAACGGCTCACAATAAAGCCCTTAGAGGGGGAATCCAATTGTAAGACTACCAAAAAGCAGGTGGCAACTTTGATCGCAAGCACAGGCTTGAGCGAAAACCTGCTCAAGGCCCCATGCTTCCCCACTGCCTATTTCAGTAAGTGGCACCACCATTCTCAGATTCCTGCACAAAGCAATCTGGGAACACTTGGTAATAACCCCAGGCTCCCACACTGAATCACTAAATATGCTGGTTTGGAAAGTGATAACTTCTCTCCACCCCTTAGTTCAGGTCATTATGCCTTGGATTTCTAAAACCTCTTAACTGGTTTGCCATCATCCATACTTACCTTCCTTCCAACCTTCCCTAGGGGTAAACAGCAGTATGTCACTTCTTTGACTTAAAAAGCCTTTAAAGACTTCTCTCTGCCTTCAGGATAAAGTTCAAGCTCCTAAAATGGTTTATAAGATCTCTGCTTTACTTTTTTTGGCACCAGGGATTGAACTCTGGGGCACTTGACCACTGAGCCACATCCTCAGCCTTATTTTATATTTTTTTTAGAGACAGGGTCTCACCGAGTTGCTTAACATCTCACTGTTGCTGAGACTGGCTTTGAACTCATGATTCTTCTGCCTCGGTCTCCCAAGCCACTGGGATTACAGGCATGCGCCACTAAGCCCAGCTCAATAGTTTACTTCTCAAGCCAAATCTCTTGCCACAGACCAGGGACCACCACTACTCCCTGATTTGCATTCATTTCTTGAACCCTATTAAACTACTTTCCCTTCCCTGGAATACCAAATCCACTTTGTAATGACCACTTGTACTCCTCTTACAGAGGAGAAAAATCGAGCAGAATAATAGAAGAATTTAAATGAAACAGTTTATAAACCAGAGACATTTGCTGGAATTACTTCTGCTTGCTGGAAACTTGCATTTGTTAGATCCTCCTTCTTTATTAGTACCTTTGAATTTCTTTTCCTGGAGCATTTAAAAAAAAAAAAAAACAAGTCACAGATGCATATTCATGAAGATTTTTTATAACATCTGACTAGATAGTCAAGTACCTTGCCAAATACAGAAAGAGGCTTAATACCGCAAGAACTTGCTTTGAAAAGGAAGAGAAATAGGGAGATGAGAAAACAAAGCAAAGCTGAAATATAGACAAGCACACACAAAGAAAAAGAAACCATATCATATTGATGAGGCATTCCAGCTATCTAGGGATCAGCACATAATAACTGCTCAATAAACAGCTGTGATAGATGGGAATACTGATGAACAGATAAGATGGACAGATGGATGGATGGAAGGAAGGAAGTGAAGGAAAACCATGAATGCTATTTGCTGTTTCTGAGAAATTCAAGAAGAAAAAAAGGACATCTGTTCTAATTTCCCTGGGAAACCTGCCTTTTAAAGATACCAGATATCTTAAAGTTACTGAGTTTTAAAAACCCACCAAAATCAAAGAAGGCAAGAGAACTATTTTTAATTAAGAATTTTACTAATTTTGTGACACATAGATGCATATAAGACAAATTTATGATGATGATCATGTTTTCATATGCTAAACACTTCATAGTCTCTCAGAGCCTATTTTAATTACATATAACTTATTTTGTCTATTTAATGGGAGTTAGAGTACAATTTATTACTTTATTTAAATGAAAAAGATTTAAAGTTGCTTGGTCTTTCCTTCTGTGTCATTCTGATTAAAACTAAGAAGAAATGCTTGAGTCCTTGTTTGTCTCTGGTTTTAATTAGGGCGAACCTATACCCTAGTTGGCCTAGGATGGTTCTATCCTGTTTAAGCCTATTAGAGTGGTATGATTATTAATAACTATGCTTACCATTCTTTAAAGTGTCAGGCTTTGGGCAGGAAATTATATTATGAACCTAGTTATACTGTACCTTATTGGAAAAAAATGCTGATTAAAGATGATGTGCTTAACAAGGAAGTTTCCAGAACATAGTATATTACAAAGCAGAGGGCTCCATAAAGCAATTTCTAGTTACTTGCTTATGGAAATTAATATATTGATGCATATGCACTGTCTCCCAAACTAGATCATGAGTCCTGGGGGAGCAGGGATGACCTTCCCCGCCCGCTCTCACATGTAAGACTGCACTACAACCAGTACTACCCAAGTGATAAACTGGAAGCATTAGCCTCACAGCTATCCACACATCTGATGTTTGCTGAAAGGAGCTGAACTGAAACCAAGGATGTGTAAGTCACGGAGGACCATACACAATTTAGCAATTATCGGAGCAATTATTAAGAAGAATGGAAAAAGGAGAAGATATGCTATTAAAGAAGGGGCAGAAAGATCCTATTCTTACGGGAGCCCCAAATGGAAGATGACGCCCACCCCCCCTGCTCCATGAGGGAAAAAAAAAAGGAAGAAAAAAACATCATGAATGCTCACACCAAAAAGCCTAAAGAGAGGACTGGGGCTGTAGCTTAGTGGTAGAGTGCTTGCCTAGCACGTGTGAGGAACTGGCTTCAATTCTTAGCATTAGATATAATAAATAAAATAAATGAAAAATAAAGGTCCATTGACAACTGAAAAATATTAAAAATAAAAGAAGAAGAAGTCTGAAGAGAACCTTCCAAGGACTTGAGATCCTGGTGCAGAAACCAAAGACATGGGGCAGATAGAAATTTGATCTCTCACTCCAGTTGAATGTGAGTACAGGACTATAGGAGGAGAACGTATCTACACAGGAGGTGATGAGGAGCAGGACTGTTTTCTTCATCCTACAAAGAGCAGGAACACAGAATTTGATAGCAGCCCAATCAACATGAATAAAACTTAAATGTGAGGGGTACAGAAAATGTTTATAACATCATAAAGTTAAATAGTGATTAGAAATGGCAGGTATGGCTTAGAGACATAAAACAAGGGAAACATCTAGTGATTTTCAAGAGAAAATAAAGATCAGGAAAACAATCTTACTTTGAAGTTTAAAACCGATGAATGATAAGGGAACAAATAGCAATAATATCACCTTACATTTTTGCACAGCCTTTTAAAGTTCATAAATGCCAATTGTATCCATAATAGAATATGAGCCTTACACCTTGGCTCTAAGGGAGATAAGGACCGTTATTTACACTGAAAGGAGGTGGCAGGGATTCAGGACATGAGCATATGGCTGAGCTGTTGACCAAAGCAACTAAAATCAGCTGATCTTCACACAGAAGAGATTATGGATTACAAAAGAAAAATAATAGCAGCCAGTCATTGTGGCACACACCTGTAATTCAAGGTGGGAGGCAGAGGCAAGTTCAAGACCAGCCTCCTCAACTTAGTGAGTTCCTGTCTCAAAATAAAAAATAAAGCAAGGGCTGGGGATGTAACTCAGTGGTTAAGTGTCCCTGAGTTCAATCCACAGTTCAAGGCGGGTGGGGAGAGAATGATAACAACAAATCAAACATCCATTTTTATAAGCTAAAAAAATCTGTGATAAGTGAGTCATTTGGACATAACTTTTTTTTTTTAAGTTGCTAGATGTGTAGAAGTTCAGGGAAATGGCAATGGCATCATAGCTAGGCATGGGGCAATTCTCTCTCCAGGTGGATTGAAACCAGAGCTCCCCCTGGTCACTGCTGAGTTCCCTTTCACTCAGCATTGGAATACTGAGCTCCCTGTAGGTACTGAATGAAGAATGAGAGAGTGAGGGAAGTCTGTCTTGACCAACAAATTCTAGAAAAGCAGGCCAGAGAGAGAAGCAGGATGATTACACAGTTAAATGAACACCTACACTCAGAGAGTTCTGATTAAAGGATTGATTTAAACCTGGAAGACTTAGCTCAGGGCTCCACACTGATCTTTTCCTAATTTTTCAATCTATTTGAAAAATATAAAATAGCCATCATTATTTCCATTTTAGCTACCCTTACTATCTATTGAACACTTAAAAATTCTGTATCATTTAAAATATTTCTCCTGGATTAATTTATATATTCCTTCAGTCATCTTCTTAAAGAAATACTATAATTCCCTTAGACAAATGAGAAAAGTGAGACTTTGAAAGATTACATAATCTTCTCAGAAATATACAACTAGTAAGTTTTAAGAAAATGAACCTCTGCTGGTCTGAGCCTAAGCCTGTCTTATTCACCAATGTGTGTGTTATACATACATCAAATATGCAGAGGATGCAAACGTATAAATGACATTTCATGCATGGAAGAATATCAAAATATTTTAATTAGAATTGAAAATAAGCTTAACAGATCTCATAAGGACACAAATTATTTGAAGGACTAAAGAAGAGAGATTAGATTTATTCTGTATAGACCCAGAAAGAAAACATAGTACAAATGATAAAAGGGATCCTGGTTGAATTTTGTTGCCTACTTTTGTTTTGTTTTTGTTTTTTTCCAGAATTGAACCTATGGCCTCATGCATGCTATAGAAGAACCCTAGTCTTTTCCCATTCTAGTCCATTCACTTCTAGTCCTTTTCCCCTAAGTACACTATCCTTTTGAAATATTGCATATAGTATGATCCTGTATGTGCATGAGAAGATTCACTGCAGCATTATTTATAACCTTTTTTTAAAAAAAAAAAAGAAAAAGAAAATAATCTCAATGGCCATTTACAAAGGCATGGTTAAATAAATTATGGAACACTATGCGGGAATAAAAAGAATAGGTCAGATGGTGAAAAGATCCATATAATATATGATTTTCAAAAAAAATCTGTAGATTACATATAAGCAAGTTTACTATACAGCATTGTATTTTGTATACAACACAGATTAGGTTGGAACAATTTTTGAATAAACTGAATCAAAATAAACAACTTGAAAATGCTGGCCTAAGTACCCTTTTCCTTTAATAGTATATGTTGGCCCAGGCAGTGGTGCACCCCTGTAAACCCTGTAAATCAGGTGGCTAAGGCAGGAGGATGGCAAGTTCAAGGCTAGGTTCAGCAAATTAGCAAAAGCCTGGCCCAAAATAAAGAATAAAAAGACTGAGGATATAGCTCATTGGTAAAGCACCCCTAGGTTTGATCTCAAGCACTAAATAAATAAATAAATAAGTTGGGGTATTGGGCTTTTCTGTTTCAGTTTTTACTTTTGCCAAAATTATACCTTGCAATTGTCTCACTTTTTCAGGTCCTGTCCCTTTAAGTTAACATATTCATGCAATTCAATATCTTTCTCTTCAGCACATTTTAATAGTCAGTATATAGTGATATCACATTAAATGCACATTTGACTTACCTAAATTCAAAAACATGTTTTGGAAGGAAGGAAGGAAGGGAGAGAGAGAGGGAGGGGCATAACCACCATTTGTAATCAATTCCATCCCTGGTTCTTAGCTATATGATCTGATCTAATACTTGAGAAAAAACAGGTTACACTAGAAATAGACATTATACACAAATCCTTGTGTTCTGTTAACAAGTCATTAGTTGATCCTGAAGGGAAATTTCTGATTACTCAATATGTGGTTAACAAAGGTCAGATAACACTAAATCAAATATATTTGGAACCTAACCCCAATTAAAATGCAATTTCACTGTATTGTTAGGACAAAGAATGAAATAATAAATATTAACATCTATTCAACACTTACTATGAGCCAAACACAATTATAGGAGCTTCAAATACATCATTCTGTCTAAAGTTCATAAAATTTTGTGAGACAGTTGCATCTCCAATTTTACCATTGAAGAAACTGAGACACAGGGACAACTTCAAAACATGGAACTTTCACTGTATTTTAATAAAATGTTGTTCCATTGCAATTCCCTAATGATTACTGGTATTGAGATATTTTTATATCACTAGGACTCTGTTTCCCCCCTGAAACTCTAATGTAAATACCACTCCTGTGTGAACATCCCCTCCTGCTCCAATGGCCCTTCTCCCAGAGAGATGTACACTGGGAAAGCCTGAACTGGTGTCCCAGTTTTCAATGTGCTCAGCAACGACGTGACAATGAAAGACAGGAGTGCAGGCATCCACGTGTTCCGAAAATGAGGCCTAAATGCGGCACTTCAGAGTGGGATGGAAAAGGTTTGATTAGCCTGCCCTCTTCTCACTCTTCTGTGTGCAGTCCAAAATAAAGACAAAAGAAAAGTCTAAGATGAAAGGATGAAATAAAATAAAACCACAGGCTGACTTAGTTCTCAAAGATATGATTTCCAATTTTTAAAATACCATATGAGGCTCTATTTGAACCCCTGATAAAGGTTCACTGGAAAATTGGTCACTTAAGTTAGGGAAAAAGCTTTTGTTTTTGGTGCCACATGCAGCCAGGTCACTGGTCAAATAAGTTAAACACACTATTGTCTGCTCTTTATAAATCATTGTCGAATGTTGGCATGGCTATTTTGATCACCTAATTAATACCAACTGGAAATTCTGCCTTCACAGAAATAAAATATTTGATGACCAAGGTAAAGTAATAAATGAAAACACAAGTGTTTTCTCTCCTTTCTTAATAGTAAAAGTAATTTTCTTTTCCTGTAGAGATAAATGAAACACCTGAATAACTGATATTTTAGCTACAACTAATAAAAGGGAAACAACTGACTCTTCAAATGTATATTTACATATGTAAACCAAGCACCCAAATAGCCTTCCACTATGCAGTTCAAAGGGCTATTTCTATATGGATACAAAGGCTGAATGCACGCTTAGCAGTAATAATACAGAATCTCCCAACACAGCAGATACAAAATCTATCATCGTGTCTGTCACCCAGGTTCATGTCATTTTTCAAACACATCTATCATCAGACACTGATTTGCCTCACACAATGCTAGTGTAAATTTAATTCTCACTGGAAATAAATTACAAAACCATGTAGACACATATCCAAAGGCTCGACCCCAGTTTTATTTGTTTCTAATAAAGCCTTTTGTATATACCCTACATGTATCTGTTCAAAAACAAAGTCAGTACTGTACCTGGTTATTTCTTCTTTCAGTTTACATGGATCTTCAGCATAGAACTTAATACCAAAATACAAAGTATATGGAGGTCCAGCTAAAATAAGAAATAGAAATTAACTACGGTTCATTTTATAGCCAAAGTAGCATTATAATATTACATAGCTACTAAGAATTTGACATAAGAAAACAAAATGGAAAAAGCAGAGTTCAGAACTATCAACAGTAGGAGCTCAACTATGCATGAATGCGTATGTATATATGTGTGTATGTGTCCACAAGCAAACATAGACAACATGCTGGGTCAAATACACAAGAATGTCACTGTTTCTTTTATCTGGTTAGCAAGGTTGCACACAATTTTTATTATTTCTATTTTCCCATTATTCACAATTTCTAATATATATAGTTTTTCATAACAAAAAAAGGATATTGATAAACAAAATAAATTATTTAGAAAACCACCCATTTGTTCACTTCAACTACCAAAATTTTTTTTCAACCTCTCTACAAAAAACTGGAAACAAACTCTCAGCAGCAGGTGGACAATTTAAGTCAACCCAACCACAGCACATACACATGATCTCAAGCAACTACTCCAACTGACAGAGAGTTCTTTACATGCTGATGTGAAAAAGATCACCAATCTACATTCCTGGGTGCAAAAATACGGTCCTTTTTGCACCTTGTGTTTTTTTTCCTGGGAAAATACATAAGAAATTATAATCAGTGGCAAATTTTGGAAGATGAGATTAGAAACTTTCTACTTTTAAACTGATTAGTTAGAATTTTCTTAATTATCAGTGGGGGCTATACCATAGGATTCCGGACAATAATTGTTTCATTCTTAAATTCTTGTGAGTGTAAAAATATATTCTTACATGTGTAAGAGACATTTCTTGTCTCATGCATTTAACACACACAGAAAAATTAAGTCTACAAATAATAAAAAATAATCAGAAACAAAGCCTGGAATTGTACATACACATGCAAATATAAAATAAGTAATCAAACACTCACATTGTGCAGAAGGACCAAGGTCCCTTGGGTGCCAACCACAATATATTATGTTTTTACTAGAAATATTTCTGTGTCATAGGGTATAAATCTAATGTTCACTATTTTCAAAACTGCATACTTTCAAACTGTTCTCTAACTAAATCTAATGTGCTTTATTTTAAGAAAGATTATTTTGCTTGTTGCACCAACTGATGGTCACAGTTGCAATCTTTTTCTTCGACAAAAGGGCTCCCACACAAACAAATAAGAAAAGATGTCAAGCATGCATCCCAGTAAGGCTGTCATTCTGAATAACTGACAATAAGCCTGGTCTTTCTATTTTCATTTTTAACCGAGTAAATAAAATGACAAATTTAGAAACTGGCAAAAAATCAATCAGAACAAGTAACAAAGACATGTTTATAATATGCAAACTATGTTATTTATTATTATCATACACACATGTTTATGTTTGTAATAACCCATAGGCCTGTTCAAGCATACAGATGACAATCAAGGCCAGGGTCACTCCCCTCATCTGTGTCTTTCTGAGGAAGGTACTTCTTATGCTGGTGTTTTTTGAAAGCAAAATTTTTAAAACTTTGCTCTAATTTTTTATCCTTAGAGTTGATTATAAGTTCTTACAATTACTGATGTTTATATGTTTTAATGTTTACTTAAGCACTATGTGTTTCTGACAAATAACACCTCTACCCCTAAACATAGATGTCAGGGAGGCAAGACTATTAAATATTTAGAAGAACCAGGAAGTCCACCCTTGGCTGCTCTGTCTATGTCAATCAAGCTCTGTGTTCCTGAGCAGATGGGCCTGCTTGTGCCCACAGGCAGCTGGGGTTGGCACCTAGGGGGCGGGGGAGGCGCACAGATGCTGCCGAGACAGCGCACAAAGGGAAGAGGCCTTCTCCAGACCACAGAGCTGCTTTCATTCTGTGGCACATGACAGATTACACTCTATTCACCAAGCACAGCTATTTGAAATGTGTTCAATAATGAGCAGTTAAGCAGAACTTGGAAAAATACACAACAAAAACCAGTTTGACTTAATATTCTTAAAGGACTTTTGGCCCAAATAAGCCCTCCATTCCCCACTCAAAAAGCCCCACATGAAGTGCCTTGTGTTCTAAATTAAGGCATCATTACTTTGAATTGAATTTAGTAATGTACAAAAATGTTTCATAAACACTTCATTCTCCACAACCACCTGGTAACAGATGCTGAGGAGTTCAGCAATTTGCCTTCCACCACAGTTTGCAAGTATTCAGTGTTCAGTGCTGTTTCGGCACTGTTCTACGCAGCCTCTTAAGGAAACCAAAATTCTAACTCCTTTAGTGTGAGAAAATATTCTCATGTACATCACTGTTTGGTAGAGCAATCAAAGGGTAAGGAAATGTTCATTTTGGAAAAAGACTATGGCTAGCCATATATTTTTTGGCTTCCTATTCTAAGACTAACTGCAAAAATCAGGTGCTAGTGAAGCAAACAGCTTAATTATTATCTTAAATTCATGTCATTCCATACACTCAACATTAAAGAAACTGAAATGAATATTATTTTTCTTTAGCCAAAATGTCAGGAGCCAGAAACTGGAATCCCCTAACCTACAATTCGTAAAAACTAATTTCAAGGCTTTTCATGACTTACCCACAAGAATCTTGGTGACTAGCTAATGTTCTGTTATTTTTATGGATGTTCCTCTTGACTATCCTATTGGAGATTTGAGAGCCATTTTCCTTCAATAAGTATCAAAGTAGTTCATGAAATGAAATGTAAGTATTCTTCAGTGATATCATATTTCTTCAATTGTAACAGAGTTTCATTCTTACTGCTTATCCAACTTTTAACAGTATTAATATCTTTAGGACCAAAATTACTTTTTACAGTGATATTTAAAGAAATATTTTCTATCATGTAAATGGACATTTACAATGTGCCAAAGAACACTTAATAATGAAACTTAAAATGATTTCAATGTTTTTCTTTATAACCTCAATGAAAATATCAACCTCCTCCTTATAAAAGAAATCTGCACGTTTATTTTCAAATAATCATTCCTGAAATTTTTCTAATTTTCCAATTGGAATTTTAAAAATTGGTTCAAATGGGCTGGAGCTGTAATTTGTAAACTCTAGTGGCTCCTTCCACAATGGCAGAAAAGTAGAGAAACAAAAACGATGCTGATGTTGAGAGAATCAGGACTTATTTTTTTTTTTTTTTTGGGGGGGGGTCCTGCAGTTCCTGGCATCCAATTCATCTCCAAGGCCTACCTGTGTTCCTACTCAGATCTGTGAACCATTTGCAACCAATGGGGAAAGAGTCATGAAAAGTACAGACTTGGAATGGGGTCATAAGGCCAAAGAACCCAGTAGGGTTCTGAGGGGCAACAATTCACACATTTAAACCAAATGTTCTAATGGGTACAGAGCTTCAAAATGGGAAGATGAAGAAAGTTTAGAGAGACAGTGCTGATGGCTGCACAACAATGTGAATGCACTTACTGCCACTGCATTGTACATAAAAAATGGTCAAAATTGTATATTTTGTTATGCCTGTTTTACAATTTAAAAAAAATTTTAAAGGGCTGTTCTGTTGTATACTTAAGCAATCTGTGTGTGTTTATAAATACAAAATGAGCTATCGAAATTATATTAAGATTAAAGAATATATATACTTATTTGTACTGAGTATCCTAGTAATATGCACATTGATAAATACAAAAGCTAACCCCTGAAAATGGATTGTGTCTCTCTGAAGCCACAGTAATTTTTCAGGTCACAAGGACACCCCTTAATTAAAACCACTCCATAACCTCTCATCTTGTTTTCAAAATCAATGCCTCTCTGCCTTTTCTATACTAAGGCCAAATTTTAACGACAAGCATATAGAAAAATCGCAGAAAAAAAATCGAGGGAAGATGTACCCCTAGGAGAAATTCAATACAGCATTAGGATCTACTCAGAGTCTGATTAAACTAAAATTGCAGACAGCTTAGCAATGCAACATGGGAATACCCCATTTCTATACTCTGGTACTTGAGCACTAGTACTCACCTCGACAGGACTAACACCCATTTCTGTACCCAACAAACCACAGACCTTACATCAAGCCACCCCCTCAACAAAGTTAAAATTAAATACCTACTGTTGATCAGTTCTTTGTGTTCGGCAAGGGTTTTTGCAGGATCCAGCCAATACTGTGTGAGGTAGAAAAGGGTAATTATAGAATTAGTTGCTTTTCATTGGCCTTTACTTCAAGAATATTTGCAAAATGCCATTTAAATGACATTTAAATACTTGCTAAGTAAAACACTTCATTTATCGTATATGTACATGAACATACATGAGAGCTTTATGCAACTGAAACATTAAAGGAAAAGAAAAATGATGCTGAGGTCAAGGGAGAGGCAGAAGAGAGAGGTAGAGCTCGCTGGGCCCTTGGCTGAATTATTATCTTAATTATAAAGCCAGTAAACCAAGATGCTTGCAAGTGGGTTTCTTACTACTATTCGTGGGGAAACAAAAGCCATGCAGAATGCCCTCCAAGTGTCTTTCCAAAGTTCCTATCGCAATCCCCTTAGAGTCATCCTCCTCCCAAAATGCCCCCAACCTCTTCACTTCCAGTCCTATCCCCTACATGTACTGCTCTATGTGATAAGAAAAAGCAAATTAAATCAAACCATCCTTAAAGATGCAGGAGAGCAGCTCTGTACAGTGGCTGAGGACCTGAATCCCAGAGCAAGAACATGGGGATGCCATTCAGGATCTCCTCATCATCACTGTGTAGCAGGGAAAAGTGACTGGACATTCTGAACCTTCCTTACAGAGTTTCTATACTGATTAAATAAGTTACTTCACGGAAAGCCTTTAGAACAGCCCGGGGCTCACACTAAGTTTATGTATCACATGCTAGGGATGATTATTATTAAGGTATAGGGTCATTTTTTATAATTGCTGTTAGCTGGTTTAAGGTACTTGCTTATTAATTCAAATTAATCTTTAATGAATTGAATTTCAAGCAGGAGTGGGAAAATTCTGGGTCCTGGGAAAAGGCTTTCCTTTAAATTTTACCTTTGTGAAATAAGATCACTGAAAGAGAGAAGACTCAAGCCTCTAGCCTCATCTCTCCGTCTGCAGGGAGAAGCCACAGAAGCAGATAAGGCACCAGGAGATCTCACATAAGCACAGAGGGAAAGAGGGCTGCCATGGAGGACCTACAGGGAAGCAGAGATGGAGCTTCTCCCCCACTGTTCTAGACAAATCCAAGAGGCCCTAAGGCCAAGCTGCCCCATTCGGTGTCCTCATGTTCCTGAATGAAGAAAGGAAGCAGGAGCTGGCCCACCTAAGCTACCTCGTCCCCAGCACTCTTGGGCTGGCCCTGCTGAGAGCATTCACATCTCTCCTGTCACTCCTGGAGCAGGAATCAGGGGCTGCAAGAGAAGTCCAAGAGAGCCCGCCTGCCAGTTTCCTGTTTCCTTCCCCTTGGCTGAGGGAAGAAATGCCTTATATAACAGGCAGAGTAATTATAAGTAATAGTTATAATATTTCATGCAACCCCCTTGCCTTTTATCTCCACACTAAGTGTGTATCATACTCATTTTATTACATACTAAACTCTGTTTGTGCATACAATGTCTTCACTATCTGTCACTCATATGGTAGCTTCAAGTTTCCAAGTATTTTACAAAGGAAAGTAACCAACATACACAAGTGGAACAACTTAAAATACAATTCTCATTATTCTGGTATTGATCATTTCTCATTTCTTTAAAGGTCTACAAGCATTCACTTTTCAAACAGAAAAGATTCGAGGCAGAGGCTGTAATCAGTGAAGTGCTTTTGGATCCCACGATAACTGAAGATGTGACTTTGAAATTAAAATAGTGATTCATAGGGAAACCGTGGCTCATCCAAGTAGACCAAAACCAATCCAAATGTTAAGCTGTGTGTTGGACACACAGAGCACACCCATTCCTCTGTGTAAGAATTCTTCCCACAAAATGGAAACATTAGGTAGATGGACTGTTTCTTGTCATTCATGTTAAATAAAATAATTTGATTAATGCAATATTTCTCAAAGAGGGAGAAACCAAAGAAAACAAACATAAATTCCCACTAACACTTGTATTAAGCTTCTATTGCTGCATAATAAATGACTGCAAAGTTAGAGGCTTAAAACAACACCCATTTATCATCTCTGAGTTCTATAAGTCAGCGGGTCCCTTTGCTCTGGGTTTCACAAGGCTGAGATCAAAACCCCAGTGGGCTGGGGTCTGAGACGGTTGTTGAGCTGGGGGACTTTTCCACAAGAGAAGCCCAGATGTCAAAGCACTTAGAATATTGATCTCAATTTTTGGTCTTACACATCACTTATATATGAGGACTTAATAAGTGCTACAGCAAGAAAGGAGAAAAGGGGCAGGGCCTCTGCTCCAACCTTGTCTCTGTCTAATCTTGTCTTGAAATTAGTAATGAACAAATTGGAGGAAAGCTTTTTAATTTCTCTAACATCATCACTCCAATGTAACAAACTTTACAAATTTTTTTATGCATTTGTCTTTGGTAGTAAAATTTTTTAAATTTGTAATTAAATTTAAATGGGCTCATCAAAACAAAAACTGTACATATAAGTAGGGTAATATATGATGTTTTAAAATGTGTATACATTCTGTCATGTTTTTTGTCATTTGTTTGTTTTGTTTTATTTTCCTGTCTCCAGAGTGTTTGCCAATCAAAATTCAGCTAAAGAAAACAGAAAGGAAGCTCTTTAAGTGGAATAACAAAGACTCAATAACATATCTTAAAAATGTCACATTAATGGGGCTGGGTTGTAGCTCAGTGGTAGAGTGCTCACCTCGCATGTGGAGGGCACAGGGTTTGATCCTGAGCACTACATAAAAAATACAGTAAAGGCATTGTGTCCATCTACAACTAAAAAAAAAAAATGTTTTTAAATGTCACATTAGTAACGATTTATACAATTCTAAAATAAATCACTCCCCATGAGAATGATTAAATTTATGAGGTAAACATCATATTAAGCAAAATAAGCCAAATTCAGAAAATCAAGGTTTGCATGTTTTCTCTGGTATTTGAAAGCTAGAAAGGCTAGAAAAGTGGGGGAGGGTATCTTATAAAAATCCAAAGGAGACCAGTAGAGGAAAGGGACCAGTGAGAGGGAAAGGGGAAATCCTAGGGAATGATATTGACCAAATTATATTGTTAAATTGTGTGGCTATATGAATATGTAACAATGAATCCCACCATTGTGTATAATTATAATGCGCCAATAAGAAATATGGAAAATAATTCACAAAGCAAAAAATGTAATGAAGATCCTGAGATGAGTTAGAAACCATAATTCTGCAGCAAGAAAAAGAAGAGACAAGATTCAAAGGCCATTCAATCAACTCACTGCACATTAGATATGCTAAGCATTAATCCAGAGCTTGCCATGCACAAATGGTATTTGATCAAAATGGAAACCAGGGGTTACAGAGGTCAGACAATGATAAATGCTCCAGAACACAAATAATAAACACAACCTACCAGGTTTCATAAGCCAACATCTTGAAATGCAAAACCCACGTATGTTCAACCAAGGGAAAGATATGACCTTGGAACCAAAGCAGCCACACTATGACAGCACTTGTCACCACTCATTATCAACAAGCAATCAAACATAGCACACGTCAGATCACAATGAGACACATCGGGATGCTGCTCTGTAATCTAAGAGGAAAAAGGGCTCAAGAATTTGCCAATGAAAACAGCACCCCACTTTTAAGGGCTACATCCAGAATACTGGGCACAAAGTGCCAATATTCTAGATGCAGGCTCTAATCCTGGGGTGTCCTTTATTTATTCATTTAATATATATAGACATTCCCTATACTTGTTCTTTATACATCACGTCAGACACTGTCCTGGGGAGCACAAGAACACAAAAAAGATGAACAATACCTGTCCCTAACATCACGGCACTTACAGCATAGCAGGAGATGCATAGACATATAATTATAATATAAGGTAGTTAAGTGAGATAATAATGTGTATATGACATATAATGCAAGATAATAAAATAATATACAAAGAAAATCAACTCTGCAGGCTGGGTATACAAAGGCTTTGCTGAACAGAAAACCACTAAATAGTGTGTTTGTGGAGGAAAAAAAACACCTTCCCCAAAATAAATAGGGGAGAAAAGAACCTTATTTTGTAAGAAATGTGTCTATCAGCTCAACTGCTCTTAAAGCAAATGGGTCCATTTTTTAAGTGACAACATCTAAATGTAATACTCCACATCCTCTGCAAACAAAATCAGTGCTGCCCAAATAGCTAACAAATACTCAGCTTGAAAAAAAAAATCAACATTCATGGAGAATGCTGTGGTTTGACTATGATTTGTCTCATCCAAAATTCATATTGCAACTTGGTTCCCAATGTAATGATACTGAGAAGGGATGGATTCTTTAAGAGATGACTAGGTCACAGGGAGCACTGTCCTCATAAATGGATTAATGCTGTTCTCCAGGGACTGGATTATTTACCACAAGAATGGGTTATTAAGACCATCCCTTCTGCTTTGTCTTTTCTTCTCATGTCCACCTGCCCACCATGTTTTAACATACACAAGGCCCTCACCAGATGTAGCTGCGCAATTTTGGACTTTTAGTTGCTAGAAGTATGAGCCAAAATAAACCTCTATCCTTTATAAATTACCCAGTCTCAGGTATTCAGTTATAGCAACAAAAATAGACTAAGAGAACTTCCAGAAAGAAAAATCACCTATCCATACTTTCCACCTGCCCACGGTGAAAGGAAAGAGAAATATCAATCCAGCTGTAAAAATGTGGTACTGGCCACACTCCTGTGTGGCTTTTCTGAATGGTACTTGGGTGCACAGCTGTCTTATCTGCCCAGGTGAGTATGAGGAGAAACACATGTATTCATATTGTCTCTCTCAACATTCAACCTGTTCATTTTCTAGGAAAGTCACTTTTCCCCTTGACATTGCTCTCCATCTGAAACTTACATCCTGTTGTTTGTAGTTCACACATTGCATGAGAATCTATTTTGTAGGAAGATAACAATCAACCAAGACAGACCCGGGTCTCTCATGCATACTTCATACAGTCAGCTACCAACATAGGAGAGAGTTAATACACCATCTCCCAAACACTCAGTCACTAAGGAG